TGCCGGCCCCGACCGGCACAAGAGTGTCCAGCACCTCTATGAGACGTTGCAGGACAACGAGCACCACGGGTTCTTCACAGATTGTCTTTAGATGTCCACCACGCACCTCTCGCGCATGCAAGACGAACTCTGCACTGAGGCTGGCTAGAAGTCTCGGCATTGTGGCAGCATCTGCCGATGAGTGCTGGCGCCTCACTTTTCCCACGGAATGCTCGGCCTGCTCCAATAACACCAGTAGAGCCGTGCGGTCCCTGCCCAGAAGTCCTTCTGCACAGTCAGCATCTACGAAGCAGCGTTGTTCCTGACGCAGGCCACTAAACGTGACCGCTCGCGGCTCCGTGTAGCGGCAAGTAAAGCGCTGAAGGTATGTCTGAGATTGTGCACGGTTCGAGCGGTTCGGCAAGCGGCTACCCCTAGAGTCTGATGCACAGTGGCTGCTTGGCCTGCTTGTCCCATCCACCTGGCCCTGCATGCCAGACGGCCGCAAGCGGAATGATCCTTGAACGTGACTGGCCCCATTGCAGCTGAAGTCGCTGGCCCTCTCCGAACCCCCCGCAGCGAAAGCGGATGATCGCGTCACCGAAGCTCTGCCTCCTCGAGCGCTTCCGTCTGACACAGCCTCGACCATGCTTGTCTGCCGCTGTGGGGGAGCCGAAAGTCTCCATGCTCTTGATTGCCTGGCATCGGAAGGCCGAGCAGACTTCCTGGCTCTTGGCTCAGGGACTGGCTCATCCAGCGATGCATGCGACCAGCTGCCATTGTCAGACGCGTCTACCTGCATCTGTGTTGGAGCCTGCTGGCGCTGACTGCTCAGCGTGACCAGGTCCTCGTTGCTCTGTGCATCTGCGTGCTGCTTTTTGCCTGACAGGTCGTCGCGGACCGGCTGGCTCTTTGAACGCCGAACAGGATCCCTCCAGCTGTCCTTCTCTTGGCCGTGGAACACCCTCCAGCGTTGGCTGGAGCTACGGCGCCTGAGTGGCTCTTCATGGCTTGAGCTGGTCTGAGAGTCCTTGGAAACGGAGGCTCGGCCCTGGCTCGCATCAGGTGAAGGCATGCAGACTTCTGCGGCGTCGATCCCAGAATGGGAGTGGTTTCGGGGAGCCTGCCCTCTGGGCTTGGAGAGCCTCTGCGTCTCCGGCAGGTCCAGCTGCATAGAGATAGGTTGGGACACGTTGCTGCAGTCAGTTTTGCTGGACCTTGCATCTTCTGGCACTGATCTCCTGGTCTGGTTGACCTCTTCGGCCTCCTGAATCGGAGGGTTTGCCGGCAGGAAAGGCGTGTTGCGACGAGCACCTCGATCTCCTTGAAACGACCGAGTTTCCTGGACGTTTGGATCCCATGTGAGGCCGGTCTTTTTCACGCTTCCGCGCCCAGCCTGAAGTCTGGTCTTCGAAATGTCTGCCACTAGGCAGGCACCAGGGAGCCCAAAGCTATCCAGCGGCATGCTGCGTCTCGCTGTCAAACCAGAATCATCTGCATCAAGCATGACCTTCGCATGAACTGATCCCTCAGGTGGGCAAACTTCTCCACGGTCCGCCTTGCAGACTTCAAAGTGCAGCTCGGACTCCCCAGGTGTAGCTGAAATCTCCATAGCTTCCCCATGAACCCAGAGTACGCTTCCGTGACTGATCGGACCCTCGCCGGTGTCTGGCCCCCAGGTGCGCACTTCAACTTGCAGAGGCTCTTCCAACTCCCCGTGCCCTGTCACCGTCTGCGGTTGCACCTGAGCCCACAAAAAAGTGACTTACACCCAACGGCGTGTTGCACGCAAGCACGTAACGACACCAGTGCCATGAAATACCAAGCTTCCGTGATGCAGAACTCAGCTTTGCTATCACGAGTGCCACTCCTGCCAGGCCAGGCACTGCGCAACGTGTGCAGACAGCTGCACACAGACGCACAACAACAAGATACGGTGGTTAACACACAGCTACAGCGACTCTACACACCCACAATAAAGTGAACCAACCTATGCCTACAAATATATGGGAACGCTATCTGGGGTTTCTCTGCGTGCCTCAGGGCCGGTCGCAGTGCTTTAGATGATTCCTGAAACGAAGAAGGTGCACGTGACACGTTTGAGAAAGCAGAAGTCCGGGCAACACCAGCGTCAAAATTGCAATGTCCTTTCTGCTGCTCTTCCTCAACCTGCGGACCTCTCCGGTCTTGTTGTTCCATATTTCTGAACCCTGCACAACGGCAACGCAATCAACTCAGAAGCTATCTGCACAGCAAGGCAAAGCGAAAGAACAGTAACAAGCATCTCTGATTGAACAGTCCAACCTCCGTCTGTGAGCACCCACTGGATTGTGTCTCCTCGACATCTAGAAAACGAACACCAACACGCTGGGCCGAATCTCGGGTTCAGGATGCGTGTTGGGCCTCAAAGTTGCACAAGCATGCACAAGTGCAAGCATGCATATTTTGTAAACATACAACTATAAGTGTATATATATATATATATATCTATTTATTTATTTATCTATTTATTGATTTATTTATTTATTTATTATTTCTTTCTTTTCTCAGTACAACTCGGCCTTTTTCGCCAGGAGACGCTGGAAGTGATCAGAGTTGGCCGTGCATCTATGTATGCACATAAGCAGCCCGGAGGCCAATTGAAAAAGTACAGCCTCCAGCTGTCTTGCCCAAGGGCGGTCGCTCCCGTATAGGAGGGTGTCATACACACAGCACTTACGGCTGTATGTAATTGCCAACGAGAAGGTAGGGTGGCGGCGGTGAACCAAACACTTTGTCGCCAAGTCACTGAGAAAGGAGCGAGCTGGCTCCACTCCGAAAACCACGCTCCGCTGCACTGAGGGTGTTCTCAGTACAACTCGGCCCAGGGTTGGAAGTGATTACCACACCCATGGTTTTCCGCCGGGAGTTCGCTGCTCTAGTTCGGACGGTGGCTGCCAAAGTGCGCAAAGTTGGGGCAGGACTGTGGCAGTGGAAAGATCACACCACAGCTCGGGTTAATGTTGATGACGCTCGGGCCACTTTGGCACAACTTTTGCTGCCCGCCCACGTCACCACCCTTCAACGCTCCCTTGCTTCCTTTTGGCGAGTGGCTTTACCAGGTTCATTGTCTTTGGACAGTTGGCTTGGGAGAGTTGGCAACTACATACAGCCGTAAGTGCTGTGTGTATGACACCCTCCTACGCGAGATACAAAACTTTAACCAGCTCCGGTTCAACCAGAGACAAGGACTGTTGAAGTCTCCGAGAGTTCACAGATGACGAGGCATTCGCATCAGCAAGCGGTGGCGGCTTTCTTTTCTTACTGTCGCGCCTTACTAGCAGACTTCCCGTCTGCCAGGAGGGAGACAGTGTTTCTTTTGCTGGGTGGACCATTATAGTGGTCTTCGCAGGCTTCACCCGAGATGCCGCAACTCTCTTCAGACAGCCCAGGCCAGCGCAGCGGTCCAGACCGGCAGATTTGATCTCGCAATCATTGTGCGGCTTGGGTTCTCCTGTTTCTTGAGGACCATGGAACTTCTAGCCCTTCACGACTGTCATGTCAGACTTTTTCCTGACCGAGGTCAAGTGACGTGGTGATTGCAATCGTTGTCAGCAAGACATCCCCAAGAACCGCAAGTGATCAGTGCGGCTCAAATTTCCGCGAGGCGCATCAGAGAAGTTCCACTTGCTGATTGTCGAAAGAGTCATGGGGATGAGTCCCGAGGCGAGGGATACTGCGGTGATGCGGCGTCAGATTCGACTCAAACGTTTGGAAGATGAGCCGACCTTTGCTCAGTACGTAAAAGGTTACCAAAGATTCGACGATGCGGAAGAAACGGCGGCCATGCTCCTCAGAGTTACGCGCTCGGCGCCTGAGCACGGTGAGGAACTCTAGGATATTGATGTGTTGCGGCTCCGTCCATTTGTAGGAGAGGATGTCGTGCCAAATGCTGAGCTTCTTGTTGCGTGTCCCTCGACTCAAGGAAGCGGATGGCCTGACTGACGGCCCAATCCACCGCCGTAGCATCTTGGAGCCCCCTGGTTCTGCATCAGCTGCATCAGCGTTTCGAGGGAGCAAACGGCTCAGTGAAGACGCTCGAGAGCTAATCGTGAACCGCCTCCATGAAAACAAGGCAGAAGGTCCACGGGCACTCGAACCCATTTTCAAGGTTACTCTGCCGTCACGTTGGTTTGTGAAGCACGGCGTGCAATGAAGGGGAATTGTGAACGATAGTGACCGATAGTGATCCATTCTTCTCGCACTCTCCCCCAAAGCAGGGCATAGAGAAGCTCGTCCATTGCCAGTCTCCTCCGTAGATCGTGCGTCTCGGCAGCCGCCAAATGAACGAATCATAAGGGTGCTCGAGCGAAGCGAAACGCCCACTCCTTGCACTTCCCGCAGTCAGGGCTTCTTGAGGTTGTCCAAGAAACATTCTTGAGGTCAACCACAGCCGCGGAGCCAGGCTTGGGCCAAGCCTTCAGGACCTATGCTGCATTCAAGCCGTTTCTTCTTAGTTTCTTCGCTGCGTCTTCAGCCGTTCCAATCTCTGCTATCTTCATCGTCACTCGGAGGTTGCACCGGGCAGACGCAGACGGGGCTGGACCAGCCAGCACAGTAAAAGAAGCTGAGGGCGGTAATGATCGCCCGAACCCATTGGACGTTCTCCTCCGTGACACCCATGAGGGTCGGGGTGATCAGGCGTGGGTGAGTGGGCAGGACATCTCGATTGCGAAGTGCCCGGCTCGGCGCCCGGAGGCAGCTTCTCTGGGCAGTGCTCGCGTGCACAAGCACCAAGGCGGGACTTTAGGGCGAGGATCGCCTCAACACCTCCACTGGCCTCCGCACCATCGCAGATTTGATTTTCTTCGTCCAGTCCTTCATGGACAGGCCCTGTCTCAAACTAGTAGCGTAAGCCGCGCTGCCAGCCGTCCTCGCAAAGATTCACTCGCGGGGCGGCCCTTCTTTGTCCTTGTTTTGGGGCACTGTCTTCCCTTGGTCTCGCCCTTCTGGCCCGTCTTTTCCTCGCCGTTGTGGCCTACCTTTGGATGCCCGGCCTTTGCCGCTTTGGAGTTTCCGCATCCGAAGTTCTCCGGCCCACTGTTTCGACTGCCTCGTCCCTCTCCGGCGGCAGAGCGAGGCCTTCGGGGAAAGAGTTCGAGGTACTGAGCCCTGTTCCGCGAGGTGTGGCTTTGCGACTGTTCGAATCTCTAGGCCAGGGTGTCTGCTGCCGTCGAGTGGGAAAGGAGCCGCTTGACACTTCAAAGGCCCGACCGTAGTCGATCTGCGTGCTGGATCCAAAGGGCCCTGTCCTTGGCACCGTTGGCCTTGGACTTCTTTTTCTTTTCTGACCAGAGGAGTTGGAGGAGGAGCCCATGCAGGAGGTGTCTGTCAAGGAGCGGTCTTTCGGGTCATCGTCGACCGGCTCGCCGAACCATCTTCCCCTGCTGCCACCTGCCGATGGTGCAGACCTTGCTCGGCCGTGGCCGGGGTCTTCCTTTTGCCTTTTCTTCTTCTTGGCGACGCGATCTTTCTGGCTCTCCCTCTTAGGGGGTCCTGCTTCTCCCTCGTGGCGGCCATCTTGGGCGAGTTTCCTTTGACCCTTTTTGGGTAGGGCTAGCTCCCTTTCCAAGTTGCGAAGCCCACAAAGAGCTGGGTCCTTGCTCCGAAGGATCAGGTGGCGGCAGGTTGGCCTCGCCGCAGTCTAGTCCGTGGGCCGTTCCTTTTTCACCACCAGGCGTTGTGGTAGGGAGCAGCCAGTCGGGCTACTTCCTCTTCCACGTACTTTCGGCACTTCCCCTCTTTGATCCATTCGATCTTCTTGTCAGCCAGGTCGCCTGAAGGGATGTGCCAGAACTTGTCGCTACCTTTGCACACATGGAGTTGGCACTGCCAATTGTCATCTCGGCCTGCTCCATGATCCAGCCACCACAACAGGTGTTCATCTGAGGCCGCCAAAAGCGAAACCTCACACCACTGTCCCTGCACGCTCTTCTCTTCAAGGTTGTCAACCCTGCAGAGGGCGATGCCCTGTTTGGCGTTGCTGGTATCATCGGCACAGAACTCAATGTAAACTCCAACGCCTACTCTTTACGAAGCCCAGGCATCGGGGTCAATACCAGCCGAAATCCACGTGCCTGGCATTCCATCGGCGGCTCGAGCTGGAAGTGCTCGAGCCAAACACTTTGTCGCCAAATCACTGAGAAAGGCGCGTGCTGGCTCCACTCCGAAAACTACGCTCCGCTGGACTGAGGGTAATGTGTGTGTGTGTGTGTGTCTCTGT